TTACTTACCGCATCCCAGTCGTTAGGTATCGATTTCGTATAGGATTAGACACGATACTTGCAAGTTCCACTGATCTATGTTCCACGAAGTCTATTTTCTGCCGACTTCCAAAAAGGAGACGGTACTTAATTCGATGCGTATGTTTTTTTTATGTGTGTTACCTCATAACATTTTACTGGGTGGACCGATTTGGATGATTCTTTTTTATATGAAAGCTGATACTTCTCGTGTGGTCCCATATGAATTTGATCAAGGTCAGACCAATAGTTTTTGAGTTATTTGAGTTATTCTTAATAACTTATATTGAAGTCGGCTGTACAAAATTATTAATTTTAAATTATTTTGAATAACTATAATGTAATATCACACAGACAAAGTATAAATAGATGCTTATCAAATTACCTCTTAATAGAAGCTTACAAAGTCTCGCAGGCTTTTAGTAACAATATAGAGTTAACAAAAGCGTTAGCCTGAAACGTTAACATAGTTACTTAATATAATTTGGTTTTACGTTCACGTTTATGTAACTAACCTAACGATCTTTATTAGGCTGCATACTTACTCTAAAGTCTACATAAAAGTGAAGTTTATAATCATTATCATGCATTTAGTTTAAATAAACCTTTTAAAGCTTTTTTACATGAAAAGGATAGTGCCTTTGAGATTATTATTTTGTTTAATGTAAAAGTTTTGTTGTGAGCAAAAATATTACGGAAAAGATTTAAAATAATAGAAAATGTATTTTGATACGCCCTAGTCGACGAATGACCTTAAAAATTTAATTACTTTGGATACGACCTTTGCCTCTTGTATAAAGAAAAATTCTAATACTTCATTAACAGTTTAATCATTAAACAATGCGTTCTCTATTACAATTTTGGTACGGACATTAAACAACAATAGCATGTTTTCATTGAACCGCATTCTTTAGATTTATCATTCAAGGTTAGAATTAGGTGGTTTGAACGCTTTGAAAGTTTCTAAATATATTTTAGTCACTTTATGTTGACACAGTTTATATGCTGTTTGAAAACAAAATCCATTTCATCATCGTCATCATCATTATTCAGCCCATCGCAAGTCCACTGCTGAACACAGGTCTCTCCCAAGGAACACCGCAAAGCACGGCTCTGAGCCACATACATCCTTCGACTTCCTGTATCTCTTACCATGTTGTCACTTCATCTATTGGCGGGGGGGGGGGGGGGAAGGCGCCCTACAATTCGCTTATCACTACGAGGCTGCCACTCGAGAACCTTTTCTCCACAACTTTTTATAGTGTTATACATTTTTTTTAAATTGGCATATTGAAATCCATCAAATCCAATCAAAACTTATATTTATCAAAATAATAATTTTTATAAGCGATACGTCACGAATTAGTATCGGAGATATCGATCATGTCACTGGCAACCTTTGAATTTATTAAGTAACAAAAATCGCAACAAAAAAAAAACAACTATCATTTGTATCTAGCTAGCTATATATTCCTTGTAGAAAACAACCTCACATATCCATAGTAATGTTGACATTTGCTTGTCCATGTCGACATACGTAAGCTTACTGTGATATCCGGTGACAGGACTTATCGATACATCGATCGAGTAAATTTTGGAGGTTGTTCCGATTAGATTTAGCCTCAACGTTTTAAGGGTTAAGGGCAGTTATAAATAACTACAATATTACTTACTTAGTAGATTTATAAAAAAGATTTCTGTTAAATTGCACATCATTATCATCATCATCAGCATGTGCAATCCACTCATCATAGCATCGCATCATAGACCTCTCACAAGGCGCGTCACTTAGCCCGATTTTCAAATTATACATACCGTACATTAATGAAGTAGAAAGTATTATTATTGAGAATTTAGATATTTCGAAGCGGTTTAACTCAATATTGAGCCGTGGTAGTTCATAGAAGCTCCGGGAAGCCTTAAATATATAAACTTAGATTACTATATATATAGTAATCTAAGTTTGATCCCCGCCGATACCAATCAATGAATTTGTTAAAGTGTTTGATAGCAATAAAAAACATTGTGAGGAAATCTACCTGCCTGAGAAATAAATAATCGAGTACTTGTGAAGTCTGGCAACACGCATTGGAGTAGCATAGTGTACTAACCGTTCCGGGATGAGAGAAGGCATTTCTCCAACAGTGGCACGTATACAGATTGCTTCAATATTTAACTCAATAATTGTTGTATAATATAGAACCTATTTAAGTAAAATTTAAACCTATTCGCGCCTATAATTTAGTACCTATATGTCATTATTTTAATGTCATTATGTATCACTGGTGGAAAAATAAATGTAGTTACTATCACCATCAAGGTTTAAACTTTTATAGATAGATAATTTATAAATATTGTAGATAATTTATAAACCGCTAATCATAATTGGCTGTTAAAACCTACTTTAAGTTAAGTATAAACGTTTCGTAATACTGGTCACGAGCTCCCGCTATCAGTCGCCACTTACGTTACACGAAGCGTTTCAATAAACTTTGGACAACTACTGCCTACCTAACGATACTTGGAAGGCGCAGCTAAAATATTTTAGGAGTCTGCGTCATGAGATCTCTATGAAACCTCATAACTAAGTGTTGATAAGTAACTAACGAAAGCTCCTGTAATTGACTTGATAGACTGATAGATTTTTTTTGCTTTCCAAAAAAAAACTCCTGAAATTAGCAATAAAAAATTTAGGGTCACTTATAACTGGATAAAAACTATCCTATCTCTCAAGTTGGGCCAAACTGCACACAGTGTGCAAAATTTCATTGAAATCACTTCAGTAGTTTAGGAGTTCATCGCGGACAAACAACGCGACACGTAATTTTTTTAGTAAGTTTTTTTAGTAAGATTTTGGCACGGGTTAGGCACTGTTAACCCAGGTTTAAGTTTACAAAACAATTATATATCATAATATTTAAGTATTTTAATAATAATTAATAACTTATTATCTTAATTACCCAAAATCAAAGTCAAAATATTATTGTTTGAAATTCGCTTTTAAAAAGAAGCCAAAAAAGTTACGCCATCGCTTCAACAATTCCCTACTGTTACAGGCCTTGTGAAGAAACGGCATAAATAACACCAAGAGTGATTTTTTTTTCATAATATATTATCCATACAAGCGTATCAAATAAGTATTTTTAAATTGCTTTATTGATATAAATGTATGAAATATTAATTTAATATTAATATTATTTCCACCATGCTGCAGCTATATTAGTAGTATAGTTGTAGCACGAATAGGTCGGCTCGACCGGGGAAGGACCACGCTCTCACAAAATACCAGCGTAAAATAGCAGCTTAACGCTGCTGTGTTTCGTATGGTAAGTGTAGAGAACCGGAGACCCTTTTTACTGGACAAGAGGCATTCCATCTTAGTCCTTACGGGTGACAACGCATCTACATTTTGAGTCTTTATAGAGGATAGATGTAGATGTCTATGGGTCACAGTAACCACTTACCATCAGGTGGACTGTGTGCTCGTTTGTCACCCTATCCTATAATATATATATTCAAAAAATAATTATCATATTAATTGGTTTTTGTTCTATTTGACTTTTTAATCGATTTAACAAAAAAAGATTGCGGAATCCATGCGCGATACGACGGTTCGTATTATTTATACACTGGTATGGATTGATTTCAAGTGTAATGATGTGAAATTATGAGATATAACCAGATACTAAATGTAATATTATTTAATACGAATAAAAAAAGAATTATTTATAAATATAAGTCACAAAAGAAACACATCTGCAATGAAATGTAAAATCTACTGGAGCTTTTCTCATTGATCTTAGTTTTTCAACAAATACGACCTCTACAAAAACATGATCGACTATTTCAATTTTCTATGTTTATACTTGACGAACATAATAAGTACTAACTAGATAGTTAAAATGTAATATGATCCACTGTTGTGTATTTCTCTTGACTTCATTATTTTCTTTACCAAAACATTATTCTAAATATAACAAACAAAAAAGAATATTTTGTAATTCCATGACATTTTCAATAACGGGGTCGTGTCGTTAGCAAAGCCAAGAGAGCTGATGAAGGTCGAATCATTGTATTAGTTTTAATAAGTAATTGTACACTAAAAACACGTTACCAATTTCGACATGAATACATGTTATTTTTTCTCTCCACTCGCTCGGAGCTATCTCGTATTCTCGTAAATAGATCTTATATTATGTTGAATATAATTAATTTCATACAGAGTTGATCGATGCGTGTTACACAGCGAGGTGGTTTTTTAGTTAGTCTTTTTAAATTGCTGTATTACGTCAATTCGTCTAGAAAACGAATGTTTTTTGCCGACAATCGCTTTACGCCAAATTCGCATGTTTGTTGGTTTTTTTACAGCATCAAATGCCATGTCCGTAGAGTTTTAGCGTCCATTTCGTTATAAAAGTAATTTTGACCATAATGATACAGTATTATATCTTGTGAAATTGGACTAGATATGTTATTTAAGTGTATAAATTAAAGTTCTGTTATGTAATTTTAGATTAAATCGTTTGATTATAAACCATTTAAGATAAAATGTTCTCTTTTTTGTTGTAGATGGTGAATTTGGCTGATATAGAAGACTGATAATTATTACATCGAAGCCAATCATAATGTATTCATGAAGAAAATCCATCGGTAAGCTTATTCAACATTATTAAAATAATGCAACGTACGCTAATCGATACAAATTCATTATTTTCAAACAACGGAGAGAAAATTTAAAAACGTATTCAAAAACATTCCACAGTATTCAGCTAATCTCATTGTCAACAAAAGACTATTGTTACCTCTCGATACATTGTTTCAATTTAAATCGAACGAAAATGAATCACTGTTATGATTGGATACTAAAATATGTTGAATTAAGTTTGATTGTTTGTATAAAACTAAAGTTGAACGTATGGTTTATTGTTTTTGCAGGACGGGCTCGTTTCAGGTTGTGGTCCTCGAAAGAGTCCAAATACTGCAATGACTACTGCGATGGCAGCTCACCAAGATTCTATACATGAGAGACTTCAACCAACATCGGAAGAACCATTATATCTTCATCATGGAGCGGCATCTTGGACGACGGAGGCATCAGATAACCAAGAAGATCATAGCACTGATATGTCCCCATACTACAATATGCCTAAAAGAAATAAGCGAAAGAATTTCAAGCCCAGGTGCGCTCCTAATGCTACAACCTTTTCTGATGACTCTAATGGAGGAAATTGTGACATGGAAAGTCCTGTTAATGGGAATGATAGAACCACACCTGATCACATACCTGAAGACGAAACCGATGATGCAACCTACGCGAAAATTGGCGTAAAAAGTTTCAGTCTACTTAAGGGGGGTGCAGTCGATCTTAGCAGGAGATTAAGTACGGATTCAAATGAAAACATAGATTCAAATTATCAAAATAGTATAATCGAAGATAAGAAAGTAGATTCATTTCAACGATCTTATATACACAGTCTGCAAATGAACCAAGAAGCGGAAAGAGATAGGACAGTTTTAAACTTTAGTAATTTACAAAATAAAACATTTTGTGCCAAAAACCCTTTTGCTATATCGCAATTAATAAAAACTAACTCACCACCAAGAAGAAGGGAATCAGATTCTGATGAAGACACTAAAGATCAAGATATAAATGCTAATGAAAGACTAGGAGATAATCAAGAATCAATAGAAGTAGGGGAACCTCAACAAAACGGTGATGTTAATAATACTACTAGCAGAATTTTAAGAGATTACGCAATGAATACTATGAAGGAGCTTTTAGGAATATACGGTTTGTCTTCTAACGAAGTCGCGGACGCTATTACCGGACAAATCAGAGCTTTGGAAGCACTCCAAGGTAATTAATATTTTTTAATTGTATATTTGAATACAATAATATGGCATTAAAGTAAAATAATTAATCCTTTATCAGGTAAACCATTGACGCAAATACCTTTAGGACTAAAACGTAGACATGATTCCGGTGACGGGATTGAAAGGACCTTAAGAAGGTCATCTTCTGCCACTGAAGATGAAGGGTCTACAAATATAACACCGCCTAAAACACCCGATAATGACATAGAAGCTCAAAGGTATTCATTTAATATTCCTTTTTTGGATAGAAATATGCTTCATCTTAAATACGCGTAATTCATATTATACTTAAAATACAAATATTTTGGTTAGGTTTAATTAACAAACTTGTGCAAATATTAGTTTGGAATGAATGTTGACTTCTACATACCACGTAAAACAGATGATTTATTATTTACATGAGCAAAAATAGTTTTAATATTATATATTCTTCACGTTTATTTTCAACAGGCAAAGAGCATTACAAATAATTAACCATCAGTCTATGAGATTGTTCGGAAGATTACAAGGTCAGGAAGAAGATGGCAGTGGTTCCGATGATGGTGAACAAACTCTTGATCTTAGCGTTTCTAGAGATACGGATGGACAGGTAAAAAAAGTATATAATATATATTTTTTTATTTTTTTATAGGATTTGGTGACAAACGAGTCAGTCACAAACAGTCAGTAAGTGGTTGCTGTGACCCATAGACATCTACATCTATCCTCAATAAAGAATCAAAATGCAGATGCGTTGTCACCCGTGAGGACTAAGATGGAATGCCTCTTTTCCAGTAAAAACGGTCTCCGGTTCTCTACACTCACCACACGAAACACAGCAGCGTTAAGCTGCTATTTTTTTACACTGGTATTCTGTGACAGCGTGGTCGTTCCCCGGTCGAGGCGACCCATTCGTGCTACAAACTATATTACTAATATAGCTGCAGCATGGCTCTACCACGTATAAAAAATATAGTGTTGTTATAATATTATAAAGTAACTTATTGTAATATCAAAGTACCATAAATATGAATTAGCCTGTTTGCTACAGCTCTTATCGTACTTATTCAAGTAAAATAATAGTTATGAAAGTACTCGTATAATCTAAGCAAACAACTTTAAAACTAAGGTCGTATCATAAGCATTATTTTTTACTGCAAAGCAACTTTTGGTAATATGCAATTGAATTTTCAATGATATGCCAATATAAAACAACTTAAACTGGATTTTATTGAATATTTATTTTACTTAATGATTTCTTATATTTACGTGAACACTACACATTGAATAAAACTACTTTTATGGACTTTATCGATCTATTAAAACCTGCGTAAAAGAACATATAGCTGCACGTGAAACACCAACGTTTCGGGAAGTCTGTAGTGTGTGATCATATCCTAGACGGCCCTCGATATTACATTAGATTTGATAGACCACAAATTCAAGAACATCCATTCCTGCCAAGGATAATACGTAAGGCTATTGAAATACAAAGAAAAAACTCCAAATTTAAATAGAGAGGGAGGCTGGGTAGTATCATCTGCTTGGAATCCTGTAATTAATAAAATTAAAACTAAACCCAAACATAACACTGCAATACTTCAAGAAACAGTAAGTTAATTTTGCGTAGATCGGAATAAAACTAATAATTAAAAAGCTGAAGGCACTCCAGGTTAACTCTGACATCGGGATGTCAATCACCTCAGTCCCAGTGACCATGGGTGCTGGAAAGCACCCGAAAAGTCGGTAATTTAAAACTAAGTATAATTAAACGCGATGACATCCATAAATCCGTAAAAGTAGTTTTATTAAATTTATTCTGTTGTTATTTAGGAACAATCCACGACCTCAAGCACGGGCAATAGCGTATCAGAGTTCGATCAACAAAATCTTCTGATGCGGAAAAATTTGGAAGATCTGGCTAATTTGCAAATGCAGGTAAGATTTGTTAAATTTTAATAGACAAGTAAGACGAATTATTGATTGATTTTTCTATAAAGAATCGTTGATTTCTTTAATTCAACCCTAATATTGGCACAGAAGTAAGATTTAAGTTTAATATTGAACGTAATAATAAGAATTCAATTCATTTAACGTTTGCAGGGCTTTTTTCAAAAACAATCAATGATGGATGCAGACGACTCACAGGAAAGAAAACTCCAAGCGAGTGGTAAGTCTGTCATATTTTTCTTAACTTTTAAAAATACGATACGTTAACCGTGACCAGAATAATAAACTGAATACATAACTATTATGGTATTTTCGATTAGTTACTTTAGTAACAATAATAGTGACAGTTCATTTCTTAAAAAGTTTTTGGAAAAAATGACAGAGTCCGCCGAGTTGCCCCAATGCGTAATGACACTTGACAAGTCCGCAATTAGTTTTATTTTCTCAAACATGTAGGGTCCCTCAAGATATTTTTAATCATCACCGACCACATGGTAAAAGAGACCTAAAATTGTAATTAGAATTGTCATTGTTACCGGCATCAAAAACCTTTCCAGAAATCGGATGTCTAAAGTTTAATATAGCATATATTACATAGAGTTAAAAATATCGTTAGGGATCGTTGCCATGTAGTTACAGCGTAAGAGAATCCACTAACCTATATCTTCCCGTGGGTGTCGTAAGATGTGACAGAGAGTAATGAAGCTGGATAAGGGTAGCAACATCTTCCTGGTAACAACTTAAAATATTAAAAAGTTGGATTACCAAACCCGCTAAGCGTAAGCTAACTGTGGTAAATATTTGCCCTATAAGGCATTCTATGGGGTAGGCCTATCTATGTTCAGCAGTGAACTCTTGATAGGATGAAGAAATGATTGTTAATTAACATAAACAGAACACATGTAACACAGTGGTACTGTCTAAGTATTACCGAAAAACAACCACATGTTTTCAAAGCAGCTCTTAACTCTCATTTACTAACCAAGCTAACCAAGTGAAATTTCAAAGCAATCGTGCAAATCTAAGTAACTGGGACATTTCGCGACAACCAGTGGCACATTTCAGCCGGACTGCTAAATGCAACATTTCTCAGTGTGAGCCTAATTAGATTCACTTAGTACGTACCAGATGCCTGTGCCTAGAAGCTGTTGCTATATTGTACATAATTTAATATTAGTTCGATATTAATAGTTAAATATACTTTATTCGTTCTTTGTATTGCATTTACTAATTATGTCTTACGTCTTACGTCTTAGCAATTCTTAAACTTCAATTTTTTTAAGCAATATTTCCTTTATGTTTTGATCGTCATTGCCCTGGTTTCGCACGGATGAGATTCACTTGTGCTGCATGGTTTTATTACACAAGGTTTAAATGGTTAATGACTTTTTCTGTCAAGAAATTCTCAGTAGCTACACGGATTTAGGAATTTGGCGGTGTCCAACCCCGTGTCTAGGAAAGTACGTAAAGCCGTTGGTCCTGCGCCGGATCTCCCTCCGTTCGTGTCAGTTTATTGTCCTATCGGACTATGATATTGAATAGAGAGTACACCTGTGCTAGTGTCTCTCGACCCGTCTCGACCGGTGAAAGACCACGATTTCACAAAATACAAGTGTAAAATAGCAGCTCAATGCGTTTCATATGGTTTCAACTGGCAACCCTTTTTAATGACTACAAGGCATACCATCTTAGTTCTCAGGGGTGACAACGCATCTACATTATGAATCACACTTTTTTATTCTGTAAATTTTACTATAATACATCCTGCGCAGATTTTAACTTGTTATACCATTCTAAATTTACCGCGACATCTATTAGAAGAACATCACTAATAGTATTATCATTTTATTTTTTAAATATCTATGGTCTTTAGTCGCCGGTCTTCTGACAAAGGCACTGATATAAGCCAGTAGATCCGTTTGTTATATAGAGGCGACGTAAGATAGTCTATCACGTTGTATGTTCGTGTATCGTAGTATGTTGTATGTTGTAGCAAATGTCAGATGTAAGATACTAAGCAGAATATAGGGGGGTGCCATCTGGTTTTGCAATCTCCTAACATAGCAATTATGACATATTATGTCTGACATTTATCCTCCTTAAAGAATCGATATGTGTTGATAAAGAAAGAAGATGAAGAGAATACTACAATAGTAGATCAGTCGACAACTTAATGATTCATGCAAAGTGCCGATGGATGCAGGGGTTGAAAATTGTCATTTGAGGAAATAGGTAGAAAAGGTCTATATTTTTATAATTATTCAGATTATAAGAAAACATCAGGAGTTTTGTTTTCTTTATCACGCAGTGTACATGTGTCTACGGAAACTCGCTTATAAAAACAACCTTAAATACCTTTCCAATGTTGTTTCTTGTTTACATTGTCAATAATAACGTCGTAACTGTCTGAATAATGAGTCTCGTTCACTACAAACAATCATTTGAATAATGACCGCAGCCCGATTACAATGTGTTTCTCCAAAAACTCGTGCATTTTTTACACGTCTCCGTGAAAATTGACATGGCACTAATTTATTCTGTGATCGGCTATTTCGGATATTCCTGTCTTAATTATCGATTCCACATAAATATTTAGACTGTTGTTCATTGAACTTTCAGTGAAAGACACTTGTGAATGCCGTGAGAGATGTGACACAAACCATTAAATATTATGCTGCTATAGAACAATATTTTATGTTTGTTCTTAAGGCCTTCTTGTACTACGGCGTAGTAGGTGTGAAAAACGTTACCTTGTTTCACGTTCAATTTAGTAGAGGAAAACACAATTAAAAGAAGGCAAATTAAAAAAAAAAATTCAACTTACGTCCACCCTTAAAGATATATCAGCGGCACTAGCCGCGGCGGCCGCTAGCGCAAAAATGTTCGATTTTGTTTAATTTATTTATAAGATAATTGTCAAATCAAGTTTGTGAAATTTATTCTCAACATTCCTTAAAAAAAGCTGTATTAATTAATGTAAGTTTTACACGGTTTTATTATGAATTATCTACGTAAAAAAGATTCCGATGAATTGAGAACCTCCTCTTTTGAAGTCGGTTGAAAAGTGGTACAACGTCGCCTTAATATTTGCATTGATGTTGAAATATGTATGTCTATTGAAAGTTAGCTTCGGTTGAATAATAAACACATTTAAATTATATTTCAATTGTTTATTACTACATTTAGAATAATACACTTTTATAAATTTTCTATTAATATATACATTATCATATTTCATCCTCAGATGAATAAAATCCAAATAGATTTGTATTTTACTGGTGTATCCATTATGTTCATAAAATACCATTCAGTTTGAGGTAACGCGTCCCGGCTTCCTGAGCGGGCCCCCAGATGTAATTGTAAAAACCTCGGCTGCTCTAATCCACTCCAATAGAGGCAAATTCACTCAATTGAGCTCTGTTGAGCGTTGGGAGAGGTCCCGCTCGTTAATGGCCTGTGTATGTACTCCAATGATACCGTAATGTGCGTGTAGGTAGGTAGTTGGTGCGTAATTGAATCTTAAGGATTCACGTATAAAGTAATTTTAATGAATATTTTGTTACTTTTGCATTGTCTGTATACGTGGCAGAGCCATGCTGCAGCTATATTAGTAGGATAGTTGTACCAAGAATGGGTCGGCTCGACCGGGGAAGGACCACGCTCTCACAGAATACCATTTTTTTATAGGAGAAGCGTGACCAACGAGCACACAGTCTACCTGATGGTAAGTGGTTGCTGCGGCCTATAGACATCTACATCTATCCTTAATTAAAAATATAAATGCAGATGCATTGTCACCCTTGAGGACTAAGATGGAATGCCTCGTTTCCAGTAGAAAGTGTCTCCGGTTCTCTACACTCACCATACTAACACAGCAGCGTTAATCTGCTATTTTACGCTGGTATTCTGTGATATTTATACAATACACATCAACAGCAGATTTTTATAAAAATATCCGTTTAAGAAGCCATGAAGGAAAACTTAATCTCACTGTTAGAATTATAGGTAATGTCTACTTTTATTTTATTACGTTCTAGTTAATTGCTTTTTCCCATAATAATCACGCTTGTGACAGCTAGTCTTGTCGGGTTTGCTAAGCACTTATGTCTAGTTTTTATTTATAGAATGCTATACGGCCCTAGTTACCAATCAAATTATTATGATATTTTCTTTTTTATGTAAAATATCTATTTCTTGTTTAAAAAATTTCACTAAGATATTCTTCTGTATCGTGGAGGCATTTCACACATTTTTTTTATAGGATAAGGGTGACAAACGAGCACACAGTCCACCTGATGGTAAGTGGTTGCTGCGGCCCATAGACATCTACATCTATCGTCTATTACAAATCAAAATGCAGATGCGTTGTCACCCGTAAGGACTAAGATGGAATGCCTCTTTTATAGTAAAAAGGGTCTCCGGTTCTCTACACTCACCATACGAAACACAGCAGCATTAAGCTGCTATTTTACGCTGGTATTCTGCGAGAGTGTTGTCCTTCCCCGGTCGAGCCGACCAAAAAAAAAACTATACATAACAGTAAGTCAGTCTTCAAACAATTACTTCTGACCACATATATGATAACATATATACCGTATAGTGTCAGTCCACGAATATTCACTATTCCATATCGTTCCGAGGACGTCGTAAGAGGTGAAAGACGAGATGGGCAGCAGCATCTTTCTGATAGCAACTGAAAATAATAAAACACTGCGGTTACCAACCCGCTTGCCAAGCGTGGCAACTATGGCAAAATCGAAGAATTTGCCTCCCTCATATATTGATATGAGGGAGGCTTAGGTTCAGTAGTGAACATTTATAGGCTGTAATGGATGGATACTATAAGATTGGATTAACTCTGGTTGCATTGTTATAGATATGGGGACAATCATGCAACGACTACACTAAAAGTAATTTGTGTTTGTGTTCAAAGTCATATATATAATAGGTAGGATATAGGATAGTTAGGAGATGGGCAGAAGGATCTTCCTGATAATAAGTTAAAAATATAAAAAAACTGCTTTTGTAAACTGCTTACCAAGTGTGACAACTATAACAAAATCTCCCCTATGAGGCAATCTATGGGGGAGGCCTACGTTTAGGGGTGGACTTCTATAGGCTGTAATGGGTGGATGGTTCAATGTTTGGTGAATGAAATGATGATGAAAAAACCTAAGATCCACCGCAAGTAGATTTTGACAGCGTGGTACCCAACATACG